CTAAGACTTTATGCCCATAGCGTTTTAAAAATAAAAGGAGCTTAAAATCCTACAAGGATGGAGAACTAAGCAATGGATGTATTGGGTTCTAAAAAATGCTCTAAAGTTACCACAAAAAAGTTTCTAAGGAGTATCCTATAGTTCAAAAAGTCTTAATGGCAATGGTAGCAAAGATTGAAAAAGAAGCCTAAAAAATTAAAAAAAAAAACTTACATTTTTCTAAAAAAAACTAAATGTTCCTGGTTCTTTTACAAATTTTAAAATCAAGCAAAAGTTATTGAAACAGCATCTAGATAATATGAGGATGACCAGTTCTAGAAAATAAAATACTAAGGAAACCTAAAAAGATTCAAACGTTAAGCTCATTTTTTTACCAAGAAAATGGACATAAGACTCAAGGTGAGATTATAAAGAAACATTTGTTATCTTTCATAATAAAGCTCAACAAAAAAATAAGGCTTTGGGTCAATTTTGATAGCAATGCTCTAAATAAGAAGATATGCAACTAAGAATGAAAAAAATGTATCGACCCAAAACTTATCGAGAAAAAAAATTGCCCAAAAATTAATCTCCCCCAAACAACGGAATAATAATGAGAACCTCCCCCCACACTTAAATCTTGCATAGTCCTCGATGCATCTATATGATATGCAAAAATAAACAACCACAAATATGATATAGCAAAGAGAAGAGCCAAAAAATGAGGAAGGGATGGGGAGATTCATTTAAAGAGGGAAAGATGGGAAGGAGAATGCAAATTTAAAAAAAAAGTATACACAGCATCAATTCATCATTCCGATCCTATTATGCTCGATGGACCTAAAATCTGCAAAGAGAGGGCTAAGACCAAGTATTTTAGCATTGAAGAACAACAAGTCAGATTTAAATAATGCAGATTTTTGTCTAATTTAGCACATATAAGCCGTGAAAAGTGTAGAATTTTCATTCTACACTAAAAACAGCTTACAAAGTGCATATTTTCTAATTTAAAGCCCAAAAATCATACTCCCTCCGTCTGGGAATGATGTTCCCATTCTACTATTTTATCTCTAATCTCCCTAAATTACCCTTTCTTCCTTCTTTTCTTTCTTTTCTTCCTTTCTTTTCTTCCTTCTTTTCTTTCTTTCTTTTTTTTCTTTTCTCTTTCCTTCTTTTTTCTACGCCACTCCTTTCCTTATTTCTTCAATTTTTTTTCTTTTTCTTCTCTCCCCTTTCTCCTCATCTCTGCAGATCTTTTGTCTTCCTCTCTTCAATCTTCTTCTTCTTCTTCCTATAATACTCTCTATAGTCTTTCTTTCTACTCCACTATTCTTCTTTATCTTCCCCTTTTTCTTTCTCCTCCCTCTTTCTTCTAGATCTACGCATACGTACGCATGGGGGCGATGGTGGCGGCCGGCGATGGCGAGTCTGCGTGCATTGCATCCTCTCTTTCTTTTTTTTTCTCCTTATTTTTTCTTTTAGATCTATACCACAATTACACCAAAGGTGGGGCTGCGCGCCGATGGTAAGGTCCCGACAATGACGGGGCTGCGGCGGCATGGTGGTCGATTAAATCTGCAGTAGATCTGTGTCCTTTTCTTCTCCTTCTCCTTATCATCTTTCTTTTCCTTCTTTCTCTCTTTTCTCTTTCTCCCATATATGGTCTTGGTGGAAGCTATGGGTAATGGTCGGACTGGTGGTGACGGCGGTGAGGTCATGGGAGATAACGACGCCGACAGTACTGGTGGGGGCAAGGGTGGGGTGAGATTGCCGGCACTGGAGGTTTGGGACATTAGTGGCCAGTGGGTGCTGTTTGGTGGCTAGGGATGGGTGATAATGTGTAAGGGTATTTTAGTCTATTTACTCCCTTAGTCAATGCTTCTTAAAAATAAGGAAAAGTCAAAGTGGGAACATCATTCCCAAACGGAGGGAGTATTGAACAGTGCAAAGTTTCAGTTTCAAGCTCAAATAAGACCAAATTTAAACTCTCAAGGCTTAAAAAAACTGAAACTTTATAATAAACCAATACCCGGGCACTAAGAATTGCTGTTTCAAAACTGATTTTGCATCTTATCATGCAGATTTATTAGCTGTACATATTTTATCATTCATACTGTACGGGCCTAGCCCTAGTATTGTAGTCGTAGCCCTAATGTATTTTGTATATATACTCGTTGTAACTATTGAATCAATCGAGAAAGTTTTCACACATTTTCTACATGGTATCAGAGCTAATTCCCGGGCAAAACACAAACCCTAGTTCCGAAAAACCCTAGCGCCGTTTTTTTTTTCATCTCGCCGGCTCACGTCGGTCATCACTTTTCTCCCGCCGGCTCACGTCGGTCGCCTTTGCTGCCGCCTCACGTCGGTAGATTTTTTGCGTCGTCCTCTTGCACCGTCTCACGCCGGTGTACTTTGTTGCCAGCCGTTGTTTTTCTTGGCGCCATGACAACTGAAACTACGAAGAAGGTTAGGTTGATTCACGATCCTACATCTCTGTATTACATTCACCCGTCCGAAAGTGCGGGGAATTCTCTGACAAAACACCTGCTCAAGGGAGATAACTATGATGTGTGGGAGAAAACCATCGTCAACGCCTTGGAAGGATGCAGCCGGGCTGGTTTCTTGACCCCCACGGGTTTCCCCAAGCCCACCGACGAACAATAACTTGCGGCTTGGAAAGCAAACAATTCTATCATCTGCTCCTGGATATGCAATAGTGTGGATGAACACATTCAACCGTCGATTATCTCTCACAAAGTAGCTCATGAATTGTGGCTGGATCTGAAAACTCGCTACGGTGGGTCGAACGGCCCTAGGGTCCATCAACTCAAATCAGAACTTCAATCTCTCCGACAAAAGGGTCAAACAGTGGTGGTGTATTACAACCAATTTGTGACTCTTTGGAACAAATTGTATGGTTCGACCGACCCTACGTGCGGTTGTCGTTGTGAAGCAGCAGTCCGTATCCGAGCTCGAGAAGAGGAAGAGAAGACACATCATTTTTTGCTAGGTCTTGATGATGAACAATTTGGTCACATCCGGTCTCAAATCATCGCTACCGAACCCGTTCCCGATATTCACCGGGCCTACGCGTTGATTGTTCAAGAAGAACGTCATAAAAATATCGTTCGGGGTAGGGATGATCGGACCGATGCTGTAGCGTTCGCCATGCAGCGCCCAAGCGTCCCATTCGGTCGTGGAGACCCTCCCACGTACTCTTGCACTCATTGCAGGAAAGACGGGCACTCTAAGGAAAGGTGTTATCAACTGAACGGTTATCCACCCGCAAAGGGCCGTGGCCGTGGAGGTGCCTCTGGTCGTGGCAGCAGTTCGGGCAGAGGGCTCGGCCGTGGGGTTGCTGGCGGCAGTTCCTCAACCGGACGAGGAGCAGGTCCGGCGACAGGGGGAGCCCATGCCGCAGGAGGGCCAGCTGCCCCGAACAGCCCGTTGGGCCTCACCGCAGACCAGGTCTCGCGTTTATTATCCATGCTTGACACGTCCTCTTCCGACAAGGGTACTGGCTCGGGTGGTGAGACATCCAACCGTGAGTGGCTTCTTGATAGCGGGGCTTCGCATCATATGACCGGTAACATCTTATATTTGTTTGATATAGTGTCAATCACGCCATGTGTCATTACTTTGCCTAACGGTTCTCATACTACTGCCACCCGTTGTGGGCACGTGCGTCTCTCCCCGGAGGTTCTTTTACGGAACGTGTTGCTCGTTCCGGACCTCACATGCAATCTTATTTCTATTGGCTGTCTTATTCGGGATAATGCTTGTATGGTTAGTTTTAACAAACACTGTTGTGTTATACAGGACTGTGCCACGAAGATGGAGATTGGACGGGGTAGCGCTCACAACGGAGTGTTTCTGTTTCGTGTGTCCAGTCCGGCGTTTGCTAGTCAAGGGGATCCTATCCTTCTCCACAAGCGCTTGGGCCATCCTTCACCTCAAGTTTTGTCTTCTATTATCCCTGTTCCCAGTAGTTCCAAACTTAAATTATTACAATCATGTGAAATTTGTTTTAAGTCGAAACAAACTCGTAGTAGTTTTCCTATCAGTTCAAATAAAGCTACTAGTGTTTTCGATTTAATTCACTGTGATTTATGGGGACCTTACACCCCGTGTTTGGCTACTGGTGCACATTATTTTCTTACTGTTGTGGATGATCATTCTCGTGCTGTTTGGGCTTATTTGATTAAAGAAAAATCTGAAGTGACAAGTTGCCTAAAACAATTTTTCAGCATGATCCACACCCAATTTCATAAAATTATTAAGGTTGTTCGTTCTGATAATGGAACCGAGTTTGTTAATCAACCTCTTCGTGCCTTTTATTTATCCATGGGTGTCCTTGTTCAAACTTCCTGTGTCGGCACGCCTCAACAAAATGGGCGTGTTGAACGCAAGCACCGTCATATTCTCAATGTCTGTAACACCCTAATCCGTCCAGGTCTGCAGCCCCTTTCGGACTAAAGTATTAACTTGGTAATCGTAAAATTTAAAACTTTTCAAACACTTTTATTTATCATAATAATATTTTTCATATCATAAACAGTACAGAGTTTTCAATATTGCGGAAGCTTAACAAATCATAACCACAAAAATAATTTATTTATATTTTTTAATTCAAAACCATCGCATCCATTCCGACTATCTCGCCTCCGTCTGCCTCCAGGATCACGTCACACCATTCTATTGACCTGCGTGTAGCAAATAAAACACACTACACGCTCAGCGGTAAAGCTGAGTAAGCATATCTAATGCGTCGAACATCCACATAAATTGAATCTCAATTTCATAATCAACCATTTGATATCATGCACATAATGTTCAGTTCAGATATTCAAGAATCAATATTCAATTTTCAACAATCATTATTCAATCATCCAACATGTATATTCATCATTTGTCATTCAACAGTATCCTTAAACTATTCTTAGTCTAAGGCCAATCACTTTAATATTTGTCAACCCTTAAATGAATTCTAGTTTAACTAATTAAACTATATTCCAGTATACAGAGTACTCCTAATAATCCTTAAGCTAGGCCTAGTTTAAGATAAAAGGGTTTTGGAAATCTTAAACTTACCTTCACTTAAGGCCAACCAAAAACCGACAGCGTAGTGTTCACTGTAGGGTGGGTGGTACCCCCAAACGAGTAGGTACTCAAGTTTGGTTCTTGGATCCCGTACGTACGTTTTAACCCTAGCCACCGGGCATCATACCCGCAAGGCCTAACTTATATAGGTATATCTTAGAGTTCTTCTAGATACCTTTCAAATCAACATTAATATGGGTATATCTTAGAGGTCTTCTAGATACCCTTGACAATACATATTATTTTCACAATCATTAATATATTCATTATGATTTAATTATTCATAATTACCATTTTTAAGCAGAACAATTATCAAGATTTAATCATCATAATCATCAA